AGCTCTTTCACAATATCAAGGTCCCTGAATTAAAGGATCTATACCCACGGCAACTAAACAAAAATACAAATGCAGAAGATTGTGCTCTCATGAGAAATGTGGATTTTAAAGAAAACCAACAGTGCATCTGATTTGATTGCACATTAATGAAGTGGTGGCAGCACTGAGGACACATCACAGACTGAGTGAGGGCAGATGGGGTCATGTATCTGCCTCTTCCTAATAACAATGGGCTTTGATTAGAGTGGCTCTTGGCTGCTGGACATCAAATCAAACAGGAGAGATGTAACGCCGGAAGAAAAAGGATGACGCTGTTTATGTAGCTTATGTAAATGTCATGTGATCAGGACACTTTGTTTTTCTCAGTTTTGATTTTTCTCTGTAATGTTTTTAATCATCCTCCACTTCAACTCCTCAGATCATGACTGACTTCGACATGGTTTTGAAGTGCTGGGGTCCAGTGGAGGCAGACTACGCCAGCCATGGAAACATGGTTCTGACCCGGTCAGTGGCTCTGATGAGACCTTCAGTGACCTCTGTGTCCTCAGTGGTAGCTGCGGCCCTGGTGCTGTATTATCTCTGCTGAATCCTCTCATTTCCTTTTCTTCACAGTTTGTTCAAGGAGCACCCGGAGACTCAGGAGCTGTTCCCCAACTTTGTTGGCATCCCTAAGGGGGACCTGGCCGGGAACGGAGCCGTTTCCACCCACGGCGCCACTGTGCTGAGGAAACTTGGTGACCTGCTGAAGGCCAAAGGAAACCACGCTACCATCCTCAAACCTCTGGCCCACAGCCACGCTACCAAGCACAAGATCCCCCTCAACAACTTCAGGGTAACCTCAGTGTACATGAGTGAATATTAACACTGAAGACGTTTTGTTTTGTTTATTAGTTCGCAGGATTAAAAAAAAACTGGCCTAAACCGATATCCATGGAATTTTGTGAAGGGGTGGGGCAAGACCCAAAGAAGAGCCAATTAAATTTAGGTACAGATCTGGATCAGGAAGCGGAATCTGGACTTTATTTTTTTACTTTCTTCAACAATGCAATCAACATTTGAGTTGATTTCTCAGAGAATAACACAGGGACTGATACTTATATTTGTATATATTCATTTGTTGCAGATACAGATAAAAATCCAGATCTATGTTTTAATGTGGTTTTATAAAGGAACTGTTGGGCCTTCACAGAGACATGTTCTCTCCTGAGTGCAGTTGTAATCATGTATGTGACTAAAGTTACATCTGTTTCATCCAATTGATTTTGTGTCCTCCAAACCTGATTTTAGAGCCTTTCTCTGTATTTTCTCGACAGCTGATTACTGAGGTCATTGTTCAAGTCATGGCGGAGAAGGCCGGGCTGGATGCAGCCGGGCAGCAGGCTCTGAGGAACGTGATGGACATCGTCATCGCTGACATTGAGGCAAACTACAAAGAGCTGGGCTACATCGAAAAATGAAAATGAATTTTGTCATGTCGAGGTCAAAAGAAAAGACAAGAAATATTCTGCATGCAAGTGCTTTTAAAGAATAAATGTATAATCTATTTGAATAAATAAATAATATGGCATCACTATATATTAGAGCTCCAGATGTTGTCAGTTAAAAGTTCCAAAGAAGATAAAATGTAATTTTGCACAACTGTATTAGATTGTGTTGCATCGTCAAGGTTTACTGCTCTGTAATACATATGGTTTTTATCTGAACTCTGATCTTGGACGTAAACATCAATATTGGGTAAAGACTTATCAATTAATACCAATAAAACTCTTTGTTGTTCAACTCTGCTCCTTATTCTTCATCTCAAGTTTTATAAGTTTCATTTTAACTTTAAATTTCATCACTTCACTCATGTGTCCCCCATCCAAAGTAATAAATCAGTTAAACTAACTGATTCTCTGTTGTATAAATGAAATGAAGTCTAGGTATAAGGTCAAGAATAAAACTCTTCACATTAAGAACAAACTCACACACTTACAAATGAATGCACACAGACACGTGCACATTTCCAAAGAACTCCACTTGAACACTTCAGCAACAGCAACGTCACCAACAACTCGTCTCGATCTTAATCAGCTGATCCATGTGGACGTGTCGTTGCAGACTGGACTGTATTTGGTCCTTTTCAATGAAGCAGCTATATCGGGGACTTGACTGCTCCTTCAACTTCCTGGAAACCATCCTCCACTGATCAGTGCTTTGGTCCAGACTGAAATATCTTTTGGAACGAGACACAACAAATGGCCCAGACATGCATAATCCCCAGAGGAAGAATCCTAATGACTGACTGTTAACTTGGGATTCCTGTTGATCATCATTATGGAGAAGTTTTAGCTTACAGTGAAACATCTCAACATCTGCTCACGGGACTGACGCAGACTTATTAGTTCATGACATCCCTCGACTGTCTTACATTGTCAGGTCAGATTTTTCTTTCATCCAAAACTAATGACAAACCTGCAAATCAGCTCTGACCTGTCTGACAGTCGCTGTAACCTCTGAGGTGGTCGTAAAGGTCGTGGAGCTGCTCCACCGTGTCGCTGACACATCAGAGGTCACACAGGCAAGTTTTTATTCATTAGTCAAGTGTTACTGTAACAGAACCAAGAGTGTTATCACTGACATTCCTCAGTCCCACCGGCTCCTTGCTGTCCTTCCATTTTCTGACGTGATGCCAGTGTTTGGTTAACAAGTGTGATGGATAACTGCCAGGATGATAATCTCACTATTAATAGTGTTTGTGTGTGTGTGTGTGCAGCCAAACACAAATGCAGACGTGACACCAGGCACAGAACCTCTGGTTCCACTCCTCTGCCTGCCCACTGAACCAGGGCCAAACTCACTGGTGCTCGCCAGCACTCTCTGGCTACATGTCCCTAGTGTGATGAGCCAAACCCTATTCTTCTTGAGGTTATTAATAATAATAATAATAATAAATCATTCACACTTATAAGGTCCCTAAAATTAATTTGTATAAATACCTCAATATTTAGAAATTTAAATGGACAATTATTTAAATGTTTGTGACATTTATCTTAGTCATCCAGAGTGAAAATGATTTACAAATAAATTATTTCAAGTTTCAAGATGAAGGAAAGAATGCTTAGTCATGTTTTTATTGACGAGATTATTTTCATCTATTTACATGTCCAATAAATCTCTCATATATCAAAAATGAAATCAAACATTACCATATAAAGTACACAGACAAGTATATGTTATAATTATTTACACTGTTCAAAACATATTCTGTGGCAGCATCATGAAGATATCTGATAACACTCCACGGTTAGATTTAAATTCCCCGCACATCCACACTGATGTCTCCATTTGACTGCTCGGACCCCTGCTCAGGTTGAAGGTGGGAACAGTCATGTGACCAGACTCCACCTGATGATACAAATGACGAAGTTGTAACTTGTCCCGCCCACACAGGTGAAACAATGCTACCAGTGAAGGAGATGTCTATACAGTCCTACATGTATTGCTACTACATGAGAAAATGTGACTTTAATAGGGGTAAGTGAAATTTCCCAGGGAATAATTTAGAGAACATTAAGAGAGCTGATATCTATGTGTGTTTGAAATTTGGTGCAACTTGATTGGATTTAAGGACACTGATATATACAGAGATAAAGTCTCCTGAGTGATATTCTCCTTATTTACATGTTTTCCTGAAGTGGCGTGTCAAAATATCATGTTGTATGAAAGAGCAACAATATGTCTGTCAGCTGCAGCAGCTATGAGCCAAAGCATAAACACGTAAAATGATTAAAAGGAGACACCATGCTAAGGTGTTAGCTACAGCTAACGGCATTCCACCACTGCAAATAAATAATATAGTGTACACATGATAAAGTCAAGGTGGATGGGTCACAGAGATTAATCAAAGCTCGGCTGGTCGATGTCCAGGGGCACTGTGCATCGAGTCAGGTTGGACAGGTAGAGAGCTGTAGCCATGGGAACAAGACCGGCCGCCACCTTCAAGATGGTCAGCAGCCTCTCTGTAGCGTTGGTCACACCGTCTGGTGTCTGGAGGGGAGGAACATTAAAGACACTGAAACAAGGCACTGCAGAAACATTTAGAGCTAAATGATCCACAGCAGCACAGAGTCCTTGAACTACACAATCACTGAGCTTCATAAGCCTTACACACAAGTTTATGGTTTGAATACCACAGAGAATGCACTAAGAACTGTTTCATGAGTGTGATGGAAAACCAGCAGGGACGATATGTTCAATTCAATTGGCAGAAAGTGTATGGATGGAAAAACCAATTCAAACTGATTGATTCATTTATGTTCTTTGAAGTGTTTTTGGCTCAAATCGACACAAAGCTAGCTACTCCCAGCTACTGTTGCTAACACGCCTGACTGTAAAAAGAGTCTGACAAACAGAAGGAGTCTTGGCCCAGATATTGCCTTTGCAGAAAACCGTCAGATGTCCTCGAATCACTGAGCCCATCAATAGCAAAAACATATGGCTTTTCCTAAAGACACATTTCACTGCTGCATGTGTTTGTCCCTGAAACGACGTCTTAAACTTAATATCATCCTCAATGTTAGTGAGAGACGTTAATACAAACCTGATCCTCTGCAAACAACAGGGGGCAGTGGAGCGACGCAGCTAGCTTTCTGACAGTGTCCAGACGCTCCGTGGGGACTGAACCATTACGAGCTACGAAAGATGGAAACAATAGAAGACAGACAGTCAGAGAGAAAATCACACAGAAAAGACTGAACTAAGACTTGGCCATTTAAAGAAGGATAAATTATATGAATTACAAAAACTGATCCATCTTAAACAACGTTTGCTTCATTTCATAGTTTCATACTGTTTTATCTTCGTTCCTGTTTGACAATAGTTTAAAGATATAACTCATCATCATACCATTAGAGACCAAGAAGCAGACCTTTCCAAGGAAATATCCAGGGTCCAAATATTTCAGGGAAGCTTCTGCTGACTGGAAACTATGACAAAACAAAATACATGTCACAGTCATACAGAGACGTTATCATGAAAACCAAACAACGTGTAGAAGTCTAAATATATATATATATTCTGAGTTGTCAGAAGAGTGAAGAAATCGACTAAAAGCAGTGGATGCTGTGCAGTTGAGTTTCTCCCAAAATTAAAACGCAGATAGGCTGAAGTTTGATAAGTAGTAATATGTTTTCTTTGAGAGAAAGAGAAATTACTTTACAGCTGCAAGTGGCTCATTATGGAGTACATATTTCACTCTTTCACATTTCTATGTTACCTCTGTGTTCAGTAAGTGCAAGCACATGAGTGAGGATGTTAAATGAGTTCATTTAAGGGTCTGAGAGTTACCTGAGCTCTGAGTGCAGGTTGATGATGAACACCACCAGATCTATTCTTGGACGACTCTCCTCGTTCTCCAAGGGCAGAGGGAGACTCTTGGCCAGTCTCCTGATCGGTAAAGAAAGGAGCTCATTGTCAGGATGAACACAGTCACAGATGAGCAGCAAACAGTCAGTGAAGCTACGTTCACATTACAGGGGATGGGTGGTAGGGATGGGAAACATTCCTAATGTTTACAGCTTAGATCAAGCTTCAATGATATGTCTTTGTCACAGGGGTAATAACAAGGAATCATTGGCAAAATTGTATAAATATCAACAGATATTGGTTTTATGAAATAAATATTGACATTGCATTTTGTAATCACTAATATTGTTATCTCTTTCCACAAACTGGATAGGGGTCAGACTCTACAGTAGATCTAAACTATAAATAGCATGTGAAGAGACAACTGCAGTGGTTTAAAAATAAAAAATGATACTAGTTAAGGATTGTGTTTTCAGTCGTGTGCATCAGACAGATTGAACAGGACAGAGGAATACTCACACATTCACAGTGACCGAGGTCTCCTCCACCAGAGCGTCTGCTAAACTCTGCTGAAGCTGCTCCTCACTCTCCACCAGCTGGAAGAGAAACCACTCTCACAGTCAGCACAAAACCTGAGGAGAACACTTCACACACACACACTTTTAAATACATAACCATCCGATCCATCACCATCTGACATATAGAGGCCTGGACGTCTCGTCATAGTCTACAGCCCTGGGTGAAAGGCTCAGAGAGTAGTGACCTCCAATCTAAATACATGTGAAGCACTTTGAATTCACTTGAAAGGTGCTAAATGAATAATGTTCGATGATTGGTGAAATAAATAATGATAATAGATTAAGTATTTTATGTAAGTTTAAAACGACCCAGCAGAGTTGACATTAACTCACAGGATTCAGGGTCTGTGTTCCTGAGCCTTTATCTGACAGCAGATTATATTTCTTTATTTGACAATGCGCATGAATCAAAATGGCTGTAAATGATGTAAATGAGCCAGAGTCAGCTCAACAGGATCATTTGCATCTGTGGTCCCTGGCCAGTTTTTAAAATGGCAACCTTACATTAAAATCAAATGACTTGTCAGCACATAGACGCAATATATTCAGACTAATATTCAACGCAGCACAATAAGCGAGACAAAGCACAGCAGGTCAAATATAAAGTGAAGTGGTTTGTGTCATCTGCTCCGTCACCGGTGTGTTTCTAATGGAGGAGCAGGAGTCCCACACTCAGCAGCACGGGCAGCCATGTTGTTCATGTTGTGGTGTCATGGCGTCGGTCTGAACTTTGTCCTACGTGTATTTATTAGTTCGTTTCTTCATGCGATGACGACACACACACACACACACACACTCACCAGAATGCTCGCTGTGTTTAACCCGGGCAGTTTACTGAAAGGTTTCAGCGACGACATCCTGAGTTTCACCCGCAGAACAAACGATCAGTTTCAGTCAAAGAGCTGAAAACAAAAGTCTGAAGCGTCCATCTTCCCTCGCGCCCTTTTTTACGAACCTGCGTCTGACGTCATCACGCCAGGGAGTGTTTTTTTTTTTGTTGTTGCTTCATGTCCAGTTAGCTTCTGCCACCTACAGGCAGCTGGGTGTACTGCACCTCACTCCTCGATCAATCGATACTTGGTTCATGTTATTTTCTGCTTATTCTTCAATTCAGCAGGAGATTAATCTTTTTACAACTTTATAAAAATATATATAGTTCAAATCAAAATTAACCACCACACATCCAACACAACCAGTCAATTGATTAGCATCTATTTTGGTCATTTTGCTTTTCATGTAAATATGCCACAAAGTTCATCGTTATGTCTTCAAAAATATGAGGATTTCCTGCTTATCTTTTGAAGGATTTGAGAGATGTATTTTAAGTGTGTGTAAAGTGTGACAGAGCGCTCTCCTCATAGACCATTATAGTTTTCTAATGTTTTGGTCCTGTTTAAATACATGACAGGGGTGTTAGTACCTCTGAATATAATGAAGTCCAGTAGACTCAGTGCCAAAACATACTTTAATTACCCTCTATGACAGTGTCAAAATAATCTGAAAACCATTGACGGCAGATAGCAATTGGATTGATAGCATTAGAGTATACACATGTAGCTAATAAAGTGGCAGCTGGGTGGATATTTATGTACAACTGTATTGTATACCAAACAGGTCGAAAAGACTGGTCCCCTGCTGCGGTGTCACAAACAAAATGATGCTTATCTTGACCAAACAAACAGAAGGTGAAGAGAAAAATCCTCAAACACTGTTTGAATGGAAGCAGAAAATTTTATTCACTATGGCGGCACAGCAAAGTAAATCCCTCCCGTAAATCCAGATTGTATAACAGCAAGCAGGCCTTGAGCTGTCAGTTTGTAAATATGCATGGCGTCAATAGGAAACATTTGTTTCTTTGAGAACATGTGAGTTTGTTTTGACAGAATTACCTCATCACCAGCTCTTGAGTCAGGCTCAAGATGTGGATCTAATTTTTACCAAATGAGATTGTTATGGCTTGAAGGCAGCAAAGAAAACGCAGGCGTCAGGTGCCTCCAGTCATTCACAGCTCATTTAAAAAAAAAAAATCACAGTGAGGGTTATGCAACATTAATGAGTTCAACCCATGTAAATAAATCCAGGAAAACAGTAATAACATGACGTAACTAATGATAAAAAAAATAACAGTACTTCATGTGAGTAAAATAAAAACAGATTTAAAGTAGAGCCTCTGCTGCCTCTTTACTCAGTCACCTGTCACTGTCAAAGTTGGCAGGTTGGCGTAAGTACTGCTTCCAGGACAACAGGCCTCACAATTCAGAGGTTCATAAAAGTTGATTTGTATGTTTTCATGACCGCCACCACTGAAGCTGTTCCCTCATCCCCTGGTTAAGTTCCCACTGGTCAATGCTGCTCTAACATACATGTTTTATCATGAACACATATACAAAGCTGACTCCCCCCCACCCACCCACCCACCAACACACTCTCACTCATTCACTCATTCACACACACACACACACCAACTCGCTCCGATGCTCTTTTTGTTAGACAATATATCCAAATCAAAGACTGTAGAGGCCTCCTCTCCTGTTCATATCTCCCCAGACTCTCGCTCTTCGGAGCTGGAACGCCGGTCTCGCTCGTACGACAGGGATCTCTCTCGTTCCTTGGCCTTGGTCGTGTCCGGTGAGATGGACCTCCCCCTGTCTTCCCAGTCTCCTTGCTCTGGCTTGTCCTCACGCCATCCCTCTCCTGTGCCCTCTCTCAACTTCTCCTGGGACACCGAGCGCTCTCTTTCACGGGTGTGAGATGATCTGTCTGTGGAGGATCTGTAGGGAAAGAAATGATAAGTACACAGGGCAGAAGAATAAGAACTTGAGATACTTAATTTCAATTTGAGATTTGTGTTATAGTTTATAGCTTTATTACAGTTATAGTAGTTTAGTATAGTTCTATATTTAATTCTTGGACAAATATGTACAAATAATAACAATGAATGCTTATAGAATGACCAAATTAATTAACAACAGCAATATGTCAACTGGCGAAACATTTGAGTAAAGTTTCTCATCGGCAACAGAAATCAGAGTTCCTGCATGAACAGCAGCACACTGGGAAAAAACTGAAAGCAGCGGAGCAGATCTGCTCTTTATTTCTCTTAACTTGCAAAAGTTTTATTTTTATGAGAAAGGAACCATTCAAATATGTGGTCAGTTGATCGTTAGGCAGTTTGCTGCCCCATTCCTTAGATTACCAGTTGATCAACATGCACCAATGGCTTTGTTGTTAAAATTTGGTCTCCGAGTGAGAATATAAGGTTTGTTGCTGCCGATTTGAGAAAATCAAGCTTAATACAATAAATAATTTATGTTCATTATTACAAGCCATCTGTGTGTCTGTCATTCAGGATGCACGTGAGAACATACTGTGTGTGAGGCACTAAAACTCATCATTTCATTTTCTCTGTGGAAGCAAAACATGTTACTCCAGGCTTCAGACAAACCCACAGGTTAAACAACCAACAAAACACTTTTGAGGCTGTAGTAAAGGAGGTTTACCTTTACCAGTAATTATATCCTAACAAGGCTACATGCAGTTGTCAGTGATGGATAAAAGCCTCACCTCTTCCTTTTGTGTCTGTGAGAGTGGGAGCGTGAGCGATGGCTGTCTTTGTGTCGATGTTTCCGCTCTCGCTCTCTCTCTCTCTCTCGCTCCCGATCCCTATCTCCACCTTCTTCTCTGGAACGAGAGGAGCGGTGGCGCCTTGAGCGATGGGAAGATGAACTGCCACCATCCCTAGATAAATGATTACAAACAGTTTTTCAGATTTCAGTGAAAAAACAACAGGTATGTTTCACTGCTATAAGCAACAAATTATCAGATAAAATGCTGGAAAAGACACAGAAGACACTATCTTATACTTCTTTCTCCAAGAACACTATGGCCACACAATAACCAATTTTCAACAGATACATTTTGAACATAGCACTGGACAGAAGCCAAATCGTATTTAAATTTACTTCAACTGCATCGACTAAATCTACTTAACCTGCAATGTTAAAGTTCATCTTTACTTTATCACCAACAATATTGGAAAACTCACAACCCTGTGTTACGTATCATTACATCCTTGTGTTTATATTTTGCAATACTAAAGCTACTTCATATTATAGTGTATTGTGAATAAAATCCCACCTGGCACACAACTAGTCAAACATCTGTAAAACCATTACAAGCCAACCAATAAAATTTGTACAATTTATGTTGAGTTTTAAGTACACTACAGAATAATCCTCATGATGTTTTCACCAGTTAGTTTCTTCACTCCAGAAAAGGCCCTTTATATTTAAATACTTTATATTTACAAGGGGACCCTCTCTCTGCCATGTTTTTTACATTAGTCCAGACTGAATAACTAAACACATTTTGAGTTTTTATGACAACTGAAGGCTACCACCGGTTCTTTTTCATGTTTGGAAGGAGAGGGTGAGGGGTGTTCAGCTGCAACATGACACTTCTACACTAGATATCACTAAATTCTACACACTGTTCCTTTAATCTGCAGATTCAGCAGCATGTTACACAATGATTCTGAGTAATTCTGTGAAATATCGTCCATATGTTTCTGAACCAGACCAACTTATGTAAGCAGACATACCTGTAACGGTCTCCACTTCTAGATCTTGACCTGAAACAGAAACAGAAATCAGAACATTTTAGTTTCCAGATGACACTCAACTTTTTCAGATTACATGGTGGAAGAAAGAGAAACACTTTCTTACCTCTTACGCTCCCTCTCCCTTTCTCTTTCTCTCTCCCACTCTTTTTCTCTTTCTTTCTCCCGCTCCATCTCCCACTGTCGCTCTTTTTCATCTTCTCGCTCACGTTCCTCTCGTCTTTTCAGTCGCAGTCTTTCTTGCTTCTCTACTACTGCTTTCTGGATAAAAAAAGATAGTAAAGGAGTAAATAGATGGGGTCTAGATGTCACAGGTCTTTACTGGTCAGAATTTGTTAGTTCCAGGGCACCTCTTACCCTTAGCTTTTCTAGCTTCTCCCGAATTTCAATGAAGCCAATGTGCAGTTTGCCACCAAAGTGGTCCGCCAGACGACGATCATTGTCATGGAGACCCAGGTAGGCAGAGCACACCTCGCATACACGTAGTTTTTGTTGTTGAAAGCTGGATGCAGGCATTGAGTTTCTGTACACGTCCTGTAGGAGCAAAGGTTTTAGCACAATGAGTATATAACATAAACAATTCCAACTTGTATTTCACGATGCAAAGCAACATTAGTATGAATAATACACATCATTAACTAAAAATACACAAGTTAGTCATTTTCAAATATGAAGAAGATATAGATGTAAACAGGGAGGTAAAATAAAGTTATTAATACATTTTAACATATTTAAGAGAAACTTAAAACCTCTGTCAGTCAATTATTGAAACTATTCCAACACAATACACATGTCACAACAAAGCAGTTATTAAATTTCAGACCTCTGCTTCTTTCTTCAAGGCCCGAGTCTTCTCCACTTTTTCCAGCAGCTGCTGGGCTTCATCTACGTTCCCCTCACCCCCGAGCTGCTCTGCCCGGGCCAGCAGCTTCCCAATTTCTTCGTTCAGCTCGTGGACACGTTCAGCCTTTTCACGGCAGGAGAAATAGAGACAAAATAATGAGCTTCAAGATGTAAAGGATTCAATTTTTCAGGGAATCTTGATAACCAGTTGGCACGGTTTCCCCTGCCATTATAAGACATAGGACCTTAGCATTTTTTGAGAAGTACTAAATCCAAATGAACAGGAAAACAAATATGCTGAGAGCTCTCAACTGCTCTGGAGAGACAGGATCCTGTATTGACCTGATCAACCCAAGACTTTATATTTATACACTTATTATTTTCTCCTAGGGGATCAATGAAGCCTTATCATTAACTGTGCCATTGGTAAGTTATTAACCTTTGCAGCCACTTCAGCACTGATCTCATCCTGTGTCTCAGCTAGTCTTTTCTTGGCCAGCTCAGTCCT